TACCTTCACAATGTACATTGAAATATATGTGTAAAGTTATAGCTTTATTGGAGAGTGATAAAATATCAGGAATGTCTGAATTTAATTATTGTACATTTCTGGGTATTTTGTTGTTAGGCTGATGATGTTCAGATAAATAATAAGACTTACAATTCTTTTTTTCCTTTTTTTGAGACAGATTCTCACTTGGTCACCCAGGATGGAGTACAGTGGCACAATCTCAGCTCACTGTAACCTCCGCTTCCCAAGTTCAGGTGATTCTCCTGCCTCAGCCTCCTGAGTAGCTGGGATTATATTGAATATATATTCAAGTTATACATATATGTATATATATAAATATATATACATATATGGTATTTAAAGTATATAACATTTGTTGTTGTTATTGTTGAGATGGAGTCTTACTCTGTTGCCCGGGCTGGAGTGGTGGCATGACCTCAGTTCACTGCAACCTCTGCCTCCTGGATTCAAGTGATTCTCCTGCCTCAGCCTCCTGAATAGCTGGGATTACAGGTGCATGCCACCATGCCCAGCTAAGTTTTTGTATGTTTAGTAGAGACAGGGTTCACCACGTTGGCCAGGCTGATCTCAAACTCCTGACCTCTGGTGATCTCCCCACCTCAGCCTCCCAAAAGTGCTGGGATTACAAGCATAAACCACCATATCTGGCCATCAAATTTTATATACGTTAAATTGATTCTATTTTATTTTATTTTTAATCCTTTAGATTATTGCCATCAATAGAACACCAGTGATGAAAATCTTGCTTATAACAATTAGTAATCTTGCTAAAATAAAAATAATAAAATACATTTTATGGGCTAAATAAAAATGAACCATGTCTGGGCACAGTGGCTCATGCCTGTAATCCCAGCACTTTGGGAGGCTGAGGCAGGCAGATCACTTGAGGTCAGGAGTTGGAGACCAGCCTGGCCAGCATAGTGAAACCCCATCTCTTCTAAAAATACAAAAATTTGTTGGGCGTGGTGGCAATGCCTGTAATCCCAGCTACTTGGGAAGCTGACGCAGGAAAATAACTTGAACCTAGGAGGCAGAGGTTGCAGTGAACCAAGATTTGCAGTGAACCAAGCAACTGCACTGCTTAGCTTTGCTGTCAGCCTCACCCGGGTCTGGGTGACAGAGTGAGACCCTGTCTCAAAAAAAAAAAAGTAAACAAACGTAAATGTAAACACAGGAAAATTTATTTTATGTTTTCAAAAGTGTTTTTATTCCATAAAATTATCTATCAAAATTAAAACACTACCCATCACAGTTTGAAGATCAGATTTTTAAATAAAGTATTTAAATAGAGATGAAATATTAATTCAATTTTTGAAGATTTTATAGAAATGAAACTATTCACAGTTTTAGCATTCAACGTCCATCTACTTGCAAAGTTAAAGAATTAATACGAGACTTCACATTACATTAGTGTGAGTAATGTGAATTGCTGAATGTTGTAAGATGTTCCTCAGCCACCATATGCATTTTTTGTGAATATCACACTAATTCCTGAGTACTTTTAGAACCACAAATTGGAGCAGGAAGAAATTCCAAAATAAAGGATGTGCAGCAGGACTGGAATAGAGATGCTTGCTTATGCAAGAAGCTGGTGCTGGCTGCTGTCTGGGAGGAAGGCTTGACAAGCTAATTTGTCTCCCCTTGTATATTTTTGCCACTCGGGCCCCTCCCGCTACACCCCTCCCCGAAGCAGCATCCATCTCCACCCTCAGCAGCAACACAAACCATAGACCTTCACAGCATCTTAACAGAACCGCCTTTTATTCTTCAAGTTCAGGAAATGGAGAGGCCTGGTCTGGTAGCATGCCTGTAGTACCAGCTACTCAGGAGGCTGAGGTGGGAGGGCTGCTTGGGCCTGCGAGTTCAAGGTGGTAGTATGCCATGATCGCGCCTAGGAATAGCCACTGCACTCCAGCCTGGACAATATGGTGAGACCCAGTCCCTACCTCATGCCTTAAAAAAAAAAGAAACAGAGAAGAGTTTCACTGGGGACTTACAGGTGTTAGTCAGGAATGAATGTTTAGGATTACAGGTCACATGAGTGTAATGTGACAGAGGCTCCTGTGTATGCTAATGAATTGATTTGTGAGTGTGTGTGTGTGTGTGTGTGTGTGTGTGTGTGTGATGTGTGGGGGCCCCTTTTCCCTGTCCAAGGGTGTTTGAGGGTGGGTCTTCTTGCCAGTAAAGAGTTCTCTATCATACAATGAACAATAGACAAATTATAGATCTTATGCTGTAGCTAGAGTTTTATGTCTAGGTATCTTAATTCACTCGTTCATTTCACTCATGTGCATTTGTTCATTCATTTAAAACTACATTTGCTGGGCGCCGCAGCTTACGCTTGTAATCCCATCATTTTGGAGGCCAAGGCGGGCAGATCACCTGAGGTCAGGAATTGGAGACCAGCCTAGCCAAGATGGTAAAACCCTGTCTCTAAAAATACAAATGTAAATGTAGCTGGGGTGGTGCGTGCCTGTACTCTCAGCTACTTGGGAGGCTGAGATAGGAGAATCACTTGAAATAAAATAAAATAAAACCCTATATTCCCTTGCTCCAATCCTTCATTTCATTTAGACTACCAGGCCATAGCAGTCTTTTAGTGCAGCCCATGATCCTATGAGTGAGGATCAAAGAGGACACTCATGTATCTAAGACACACAGCCAGTCCACAGCAAAGAAGTGCTCAGGCCAGGCAGCAAAAAGCGGACGGTGCATGCCAAGTTTAAATGTCAGGTAAAATCTCAGTAGATGTTGCTCTGTCCCAATCAACTTCCCTTCCTTCACCAGCTTCCACTACCCAGCCACCTGCCCCAGGGCACTGGGGGATCTTAGGGACTGGGGTGGGGGGGATGGGGAGGGTTTTGCTTGAAGAGACACTTCCTGTTTGGGGCCAAGCACTTCCTTCAAGTGACTCACAGGCTCCCACTGGCCCCATGCTGGGAAGGCAAGGTGGGGGTGGAGCCAGACCCGGGTGTGTCACCCTCTGCCTGTGACCCCAGCTGGGTGACCTGACACAGGGCAGTGAGCACAGGCTGGAGGTAGGAGGTGGGGAATGGCAGGAGGATGTGAGACCATTCTGCCTCACCCAGTCTGGTGGGGCAGGGGCTCCAGAGAGGAGTGGGAATGGGGGCAGCCTCCACATCCAGCCAACCCCACACATAGTTTCCAGGGCAGCTGTGGGCCAGGGCGAGGCTGACAGCAGAGCTGAGCCCTGGGGAGATGCCATGGTACTTTCCTTTCTGCAGGCAGTAAGGTATGGTGGAAGGAGCACTGGCACGGAGCCATGGACTTGTATTTCTCACACCAACTTTCTGGTGGTCATTTTGGTTTTCTGCCCCTCGCTGGGCCTCAGTACCCCTGTCTGTCTGATGTGGGGAGTGGTTTATGGCTGTGACATTTTGTGCAGGTTGGCGGTTTGAGCTTGAATTCTGACTCTGCCACTTTGCTGGGTGTGTTCACCTCTCAGAACCTCCATTTTAAAATCTAAAATAATAATCACTTCAGGTGTTTTACATATGGTAACTAATTTAATCCTCACATTGACCCTATGGGGTAGGTTTTATTAGTAGTAGTATTTTATATGTAAGGAGATTGGGGGACAGAGAGGTTAAGTAATTTGCCCAGGATCACACAGTAAGAGACAAGATTCTTACTTGTATAGTTCAACTCCAGGTCCCATGCTCTTATCTCATTCTGGGCTTGCTACTCAAATTATGGTCCAGGGACCTGCAGCATCAGCATCACCTGGGAGCTTATCAGAAATGTAGAATCTCAGCCCTTAGCCTAGACTTACCAAGTCAGACTGCATTTTAACAAGTTCCCTAGGTTTCCAAGGTCTAAGGCCCCAGGAAATATAAATAGACCAATGGCTTCTCAAACATCAAAGTTGAAAGGAGAAGCCATTGGTCTATTTATATTTCCTCTGCCACTTAGGCCTTAGGATCATTGTAGGAGGTAGAGGAAACAAGTATATTTTATAAACTGTAAAGTGCTGTACATTCGGGGCACTGTGAGAAACCTGGGGACTGGAGGTGCAGAGGGGTAGGCCTCGGAGTGTCCCAAGTGCTGGTCTCTTAGTGGCTGTCATTTCTTAGCTGTCTCTGAGTCTATCTCTGTCCACCCCTGGTTCACACACAGAGGTGTGTGTTTGGCTGTGTGTTTCTTGCCGGTGTGTGGCTCTAGAATCCAGTTGGGTTGGGGAGAGTTGTTATATTGGCACCAGGAGGCTCAGGTCCCAGCCCTGGCCCTGCCTCTGTGTGATGTAGGTAGGCTTCTGTCTCTGCAGCCTTGGTGTCCCCTAGTAAACAAGGTGTTAGCTCCTCTGCAGCCTGCAATGCTGACCTGCAGGCTCCTCCTCACCTCTCCTGGCCCCTCTACTCCCCGTGGCCTGTCAGTACCATCTCTTCTCCCAGTTCCTGGGCGGGGGGAGGGGTGGGGGGGTGCCCTGCTGCCTGCAGGAGCCGTCAATGGGGGAGGTGGTGCATGAGTCAGAGCTCAGGCACGTAATTGTGGTGCCCCAGATCCCACCTCCGGGCTACCAGCCTTCCCTTAGCGGCTGCTTTAGAAGAACAGCTGGTTTGGCAGCTACTTCAGGGAAGCAGGTCCCTGGGCAGTGTGAAAGGGCCTCTGCCCCCAGGGTGGCTGGGCTTTGGGTTCTGGGTCTGTGGGTCCTGGAGAGTGAAGGAGTGGTTCAGGGAACAGGTTGTCTGGGCCTGGGGCAGGTTTGTGGGCAGCATGCATGGAGGTGGATTGCATGTGCTGGGTTTCGTGGCTGGGGATTAGATCATGTATGTCCTGCCAGCCCACCCACCAGCTTTGTGGCTTCTCCAGGGCAGGGAATTGGTGTCACCTGTCCGGTGGGTCCCACACCCAGCACAGGGAGGGAAGAGGATGGGAACTCACTAAGGGTTAAGTGGGACGGTAGAAGGCAGGGTGGACTGATGAATGAGTTCACTGGGTTTATCTCCTTGTCCCCTCAGCTCTCCCCGTGAAGTGATATCACCACCTCCGTGGACAGGACACCCTCTGGAGCCCAGGTCACAGCCACTGGTACCTTCTTCCAGGTAAAGAGAAAAGGAGGGAGGGAGAAAGGAGTTAGAGGCAGGCTGCAGAGGGCAGATCACTGGGTTCTTACTCAATGTCCACCTCTCCCATGGGGGCAGCACTCTACAGTTTATAAAAAAGGCATAAATGGGATTATTGTCCCATTTTATGGACAGGAAGCAACTGAAGCTCTGAGTAGAGTTGTCTCTTGCTTAGTACAGTGTTCCAGGTACTTGTCTGAGAGCCCTGAGGCTGATGCCATGGTTATTCACGCTTTATAGGTAAGGAAGCTGAGGCATACAGGCATTTAGAAACTTGCCCCATTAAATACATGATAAAGCTAGGTTTCAAACCCGGGCAGGTAGCCAGGCATGGTAGCATACACCTGTAGTCTCAGCTACTTGAGAGTCTGAGGCAGGAAGATCACTTGACCACATGAGTTCAAGCTGCAGTGAGCTATGATTGTGCCACTACACTCCAGCCTGGGTGACAGAGTAAGACTGTGTCTCTAAAAAGAAAAATTTTAAATAAATAAAAACCCAGGCAGGCTGACCTCTTCACAACCCCTATGATTTACTGCCTCTCAAGAGCCCAGCATTAAACTAAATTTCCTTGACCTCCAGTCTGAGGGTTGGATGGGCTCCCAACTCCAGAGAATATTCGTATTTTAAAAGAGAATCCTAGAGAAAGTGATGCTTCCTCCAAAGGAATTGATGACAAATAGTGGATTCGGAAGCTTATACCATGGAATTGGCATGAACTTTCAAGGAAGGCCAGCCAACACCTGGGACTTTCTTCCTCAGCATTTGAGCAAGGTCAGTTTTCATAGGTCACCAAGGGAAAACCTGGACATTTGAAGGAAGGGAGGAAAAGTTTAGGCTCCAGGTTCTTAGATGTGCCTGGAAGCAGAAACTACTGCTCTTTGCAGAAGACTGTGAAGAGTGGCGATGTTTGTGACAATGATGAAATCAGTATCTGTGCTAGATCTGAGGTCATCTTACACTAGATCTGGTACAGAAATGTGCAAGTGGATATCAGAGGTTTAAGAAAAATTTGTGAGAGAAAAGTACCTACTTGAGTGTTTTTTTTTTTTTTTTTTAGTAACTTAATTTTTTTCTGTAAATTGGGAAAAGGCTAATTATTATTCAGAGACAGAATTCAGACCCGGCTCAGAAGTGGCTCTGCGTTTCTGTGGTGTAAGAGGCTTTGATTGGTTCTTTCTTTCCTTCCTTCTTGCATTTAACCAGCTTTTTGACTGACAACTAAATAGGTACCTCCTTGGTGCCCGGCCCAGTGCAGGGGACATAGGTCCCCTATACAGTGACTCTTCTAGCAAGGACAGGGCCTGGTGTATCTTGTGTCCCCATCACCAGGTGTGGGGGTGCAGACACTATAGGTCTTCAGAAAACCTTGGCGAAGTGGATCAGAAGTCTGAACCTGGAGAAGCTCTCAGTCTGGCAGGAGAGGCAGCCACGGAAGCAGATAATTACAGCACACCGAGGCCTGTGATCATTCTCAGGAGCGATGCCAGATGATGTGAGCAAAAAGGGAGGAGGCAGTGGGCTTTTGTTGGGGGGAATTAGCCTAAGCTTTGCACAGGGTCTGTTTGTTATGATGCATGGGATTTGGATTGGAATTTGGGGAGGGCTTTCCTGGCGGAGGGCCCAACCTGAGCGAAGGCCTGGAGGTGGGAAAGCTGGGTAGGTGGTGTCCTTGGAGCACAGTGGTGCAAGGAGGGGCAGGGGAGGACAGAGACAAGATTGCTCTGTACAAGCCTCTCCCATACTCACATTCCTCCTCCTCCTCCCCCCTCCTTCATTTACTTGGTGTGCTCCATTCTCCCATTCCCCCATCCCTGGGACTGAGGAAGAGCCATCAGAAAAAGCCAGTGTTGCCCCTGGGGCTGAATCCCTGGGCTCCTGGAAGAGGCTTGCACAAGTCCAACTGAGGGCGGGGGATGCTGGAAGTCTTCACTACCATCTAGTAGTAGTCCTGGGGCCCTTCGCTGGCTCTGCCTGTTCCCGGGTCACTTGTCAGTGTCAGTGGGGGAGAAGGGGATGGGGGCAGGATCTCTTCTTAGGATGGCTTTCCTACAGTCCTGATGGCTTGGTGAGAATCACTCAGCCCTCCAGGGAGAGAGGGGCCTGTCACTAGGAGTATGCAAGCCTAGGGAAGCCACTGGCTGGTCTGGAGAGGCTGGAGGACCAGGAGTAGGAGTGGCACAGGGGATTTCTGAATGGAAGGGGTGGCTGGATGGAAAGCCTCTAGGACTTTGATGCTGACGTTTTGTGACTTAGCAGTCTGAAATCCAGGGATAGTTTGAAGATGCTAGTTGAATTGTTCAATGAGGATTCCGACTCTGTGAGTCTTGGGTGAAGTGATTCTAGAGCTCCAATTTGGGGCATTTACAGCCTGAGATTTTGAGCTATGAGATGCTAAGCTCTGCCCTCTGGGCAAGGCCAAGTCACTTTTGGTGACTACTCAGCTCAAGCTCATAGCCCTGACCTGGGAAAGAGAAATCCTTTCTGTGCCAAGAGAGCTGAAGGCCCCCAGGCAGGCTCCTGAGCTGGAGAAGAACTAGTCTCCCTTCGACTTTGGGCCCTGCCAGCCTTCTTCCAAGAGGAATGGCAATCAGAGGTCTCTTGGGACAGAAGTGTTGGGTAAACAGGATGCCCTGGCATCATTGTGGAAAGAGATTAATAGTGACCCTAATTATGCCGTGATTGATTCTTTGAGGCTCCGGCTGAGCCCCAGCCTTGGCCACTGAGTAACATTTCCCCAGAGAGTGAGCAGGCTTGCAGGGCCTGGGTGCCACAGGCCCCACCTGGTCTTCCCCTCAAGGACTCTCACCCTACCTCCTTCCAGGCACCTCGCCAAGCCTCTCCTCAGTGGCAGCTGCCTCTGTAACTTAGACTTCCTTCCTGCCCCTAGGTCTGGTTACCTTCTCTGCAGATTCCATTAGAATCTAGGGCTTTCAATGAGGTACAGAGAGGCGGACTTCCCCAAGGCTGCATAGTGAGATGGTGGCAGCCATGATCTCTCCATTCAAGCTATCCAATGAGACTATGCAATGGAACAGACTGAATTGTGAGCACCCTGGAAAAGCAACCTGCAGGAGGCTGGGGCTGGAGAACAGTAGCAGGGCCAGGGATGGGTGGGTTCCACATTTCACTGGCTGGGCTTTTTTCAGAATCTCTTCTGTCTTTCCCATCTCCAGCCCTGGGGCTAGAGATTCCTTTTGTAGTTTTGGGTTTGGTTGTTTTGTTTTGAGAAACGGTCTAGTGGATGAGCTGCGTGGGGTGCCTCTACCCTGGGAGAAGCCCCAGTCACTGCCCTCCCTGCCACCCAGGCTTCCGTTGTACTCTCTCCTTACCTAAAATGCCCTTCCTTCTCCCCTTTGTGCTGCAAATCTTTCCTCATTTCTCAATTCTGTGTAGATCCCACCCTCTCCTGGAAGCCCCTACACTGTTGTCAGGAAACACAGAGTTGTGGGATCCATAAGGGACCGTGACCAGTCAGGAAGGGCTTCCTGGAGGAGGGGCTACCTGAGCTGATATGAGCAGGAGTTTGCCAGGCACTGAGGATAGGTGGAGGGGCTCCAGGCCTAAGTTGGTTTCACAGGCACACCTGGGTCGGGAGCAGGGATGGATGAAGCAGTGAGGAAGGACCACAGAAAGGCCTGGTCCTGCTCCAAGGCCATGATCCCAGAGCACTGTGGAAACGAGTCACCATGACCCTGCACCTTTCATGCCTGGGGTTTTACTGTAAGGGAAGTTTGGGGTCATCACTGTTTGTGAGTCATCTAGCCTACAATGCACCTACACCTTGACCCCTGTCCAATATGGTGGATGCCTGGGCAAGGCCAGAGCTCAGGCCTGGTGCTCAGGATGACCAGGCACCTAACCTTGTTATAGGCCTTCCTGCCACTTTCATCCAAGTTTTGAACTGTGCCCCAGGAGGGTGACTGTAACGGTGCCCAGTGATCAGCCGTGGGAGTGGAGGAGGCTCTTCCTCAGTCAGACCAGGGAGGGCTCAGGGATTGGCCTTCCCTTTTCCTTGAGCAGTCCCCTCTCTACTTTGCTACTGGGAGTGAGGAGAGAGCAGGTAGCTAAAGGGTTTTAGAAATTTAGTGCTAGAAAGGCCCTTGGAGATCAGCCAAGGGTGTTCAAACCCTCCTGTGATTCAGATGGGAAAACTGAGGCCAGAGGCTTTGGGCAGTCACTCAGATCTCTGGTGTTTGAGCTCAGCCTGAGACCATCATCCCAGGCCTGGGCTGGGGTTGAGGCCCAGTGAGGGCAGCCATGCCGAGGAGAAGGGGGGTGTCTCTCCATCTGCATGCTTGCCCCGTTCCCCAGGGCCCTAGCATGCTGCCAAAGGTCGGCCTCCTACCCCCACCAGCCCCGGCACTGTTTGGTAGAGGGGGATTCCTTTCCTCCCTAATGTTCCTAGACTCATTCTGTGCCTATGCTTTCCTGATACCAACCAAAATATTGAGCTTGGCCCTTTGAGGTACAATTTGCAGTTATACGGATGCTGAAGCTGGCGTTGTCATGGAAGGTGATAGAAACGTGAATAGGCCTGCACTGTGGGGCTGCAGCCATGGAGAGCCTGGACTTTTGAGTAAGCAACCCTAGGTTCAAATCCTCCCTCCTCCATGCTTAGCTGTTTGGCCTTGGGTGAATTACCTAACTGTTGGTGTGTGTATGTGTGTGGGGGGGTGTGTGTGTGTATTTAATATACTTTTTTCAAAAGCAGTTTTAGGTTTACAGTAAAGTTGATTGGAAAGTACAGAGAGTTTCCATATACCCTCTTCCTCCTTTCCCCTCCCCACAAGTCTGGCGTATTCTTTACGTCTTATGTTAATATGGTACGTTTATTACAATTGATGAACTAATGTTGGTTAATTATGATTGACTAAAGTCCACAGTTCACTCCGTGGGGTTTGACACGTGTCCATTATTACTGTGTCATACAGAAGAGCTTCACTGCCCTCAAAATTCCTCGAGCTCCACTTATTTGTCCCTTCCCCTTGAGTCCCGGACAGCCACTGATCTCTTTACTGCCTCCGTAGTTTTGCCTGTTCTAGAATGTCGCTTAGTTGGTATCATACAGTATGCAGCTTTCCAGATTGGCTTCTGTCACTTAGCAATATGCTTTCAAGGTCTTTCCGTTGCTTTTTGTGGCTGGGTAGCTGACTTCTTTTTATTGCCAAGTAATATTCCTCATTGTGTGTGATGCACTGTGGTTGGTTTACCCATTCACTTAGGCCCATGTTTGCAATCTGTTAAGACCGCTGGCCACTGCTCAGAAAGGTTGTCAAGGGGGGGTGATGCCTATGTATACTTGGCATGGTACCCAGCAATGAACCGGAGTGCCTGCACCACCCAGCAGCAAGTGCTGGCAGAACAAACAGTAACCACTGTGGCTGGTCGTACTCACACTTTACCTATGTTAGCTCCGCCAGTTCTTTTTATTATTACTATTAATTATTTTAGAGATGGAGGTCTTACCATGTTACCCAGGCTGGTCTTGAGCTCCTGGCCTCAAGTGATCCTCCTGCCTTGGCCTCCTCAAAGGCAAGGGATTACAGGCATGAGCCATGGCACCTGACCTCAGCCAGTTCTTGAACAAATTTACTGAGTGCTTAAAACCTGTTAAAAGTTGGCAACACACTGAATATCCTCATACCAATCAAGGCTTGGGATTGCAAACAACAGAAACAATTCAGGTTAATTTGGCAGAAGAGTTTCTTGGAAGGAACTAGAGTCGTTTCCAGAATCTGAGGGGTCTGGAGACCCATGCCTGGGTAGGAGTGGAGGGGGCCCAGGTACAGCTAAGGTTTCCAGGCTGTTGTCTCCTCTGGTGAAGCTGCTGCTGGCCTCACAGCACCTCACAACTAGTGCAGATGTTCGTGTGACTTCCAGACCTGGGCACTTAAACAGAAAAGCAGTTTTATTGGGATAAAGTTCACATGCCATACAGTTCACCTATTTAGAGTGTGCAATTCAGTGGTTTTCAGTATATTTTCAAGGTTGGGCAACCATCACCATTATCTAATTCCAGGACATGTTCTTTCTTTTTGGGGGTCTGCGAGTCTCACTCTGTCACTCAGGCTGGAATGCAGTGGCACCATCTCAGCTCAACACAACCTCCGCCTCCCGGGTTCAAGCAATTCTCCTGCCTCAGCCTGCCAAGTATCTGGGATTACAGGTGCAGGCCACTACCACCTTGCTAATTTTTGTATTTTTAGTAGAGATGGGGTTTCACCATGTTGGCCAGGCTGCTCTCAAACTCCTGACCTCAAGTGATCCACCAGCCTCAGCTTCCCAAAGTGCTGGGATTACAGGCATGAGCTACCATGCCCAGCCAGGGTCATTTTCATCAGCCTAAAAAGAAACTCCACACCTTTTAGCAGTCACTCTCCCTTTCCCCCAACCAGTTCTCACAGCCCCTGGCATTCACTGAGCTACTTTCTGTCTCAATATTTGCCCATTCTGGTCATTTCTTATACATGGAATCATATAATATATGGCCTT